AAAAAAAGACCTCTGTGACATGCACATGCTGTTATTCATTTGTCGTGTACCTTTTCCCCCTGCCAGAATCCAGATCGCAAGACAAGCGTGGAGAATAATATACATGAATTAAGGAGTGCTAGACGGTCATCTATTAACGGCAGCGGAAATGAGTTGATTTCTATTTCTTTCTTTAATGCTCTATAATCTACGCAAAAGCGTTTTGAGCCATCTTTTTTTTATCTTTCAACAGGAAAAGAAGAACGGAGATTGGATGTGCTGATGATTCCCGCTGTTAAAATATCATCGACTGCATTTCCTACTAATTCTCTTTTATTGAGTGGGGTACGGTATGGTCTTAATTTTATCGGTTAAGCGGTTTTTTTTTTCACTAGAAAGTCGCGTCCTAGAATCAAGTTTCGATTCATGGTCGAAACTACATAAAATTTATGACTTACTTTTTTACCCTCACTTCCATCAATTGCCAAATTTTCTCCGTTTACGGACTGTAGAGATAGATGTTCTTTTTTTAATTTTGGTTTGTATGCCAATGTTGTATAAACGCGTCTGTGCACGAGGCCGACCTCTGCAAAGAAGCCTATGAGCTGTCGCTCTAGCTCCGGGGAGCTTGTTCTCGAATAAGCATTTGCAGCCAAAAGCACGAACCTTTCCCCAAAACACTGCACGTTTTCATCTTTGTTTTGTTTGATTTTTCGTAGAAGAGTCGAGGCGTGTAGCGGGTCAGTGACCTCGCTGAACCTCATCGCCAGTTAGTTCTTTAGACCTACGTAATCAGAATCAGGATTTGCCCCTGAATATCTTTGAATAAAACTAGATACTATGCCCCTGGAAGTTTGGTAGGCTATAAATTAATCTTCTCCTTTCCAACTTTTGCAAGTACCGAATATTTCTCAATTTGTTTAAGCCTGTCCCTTGTACCAGCGTTGATTCTTTTTAACAGTTTTATTTCAGTCTGTCCTAGTCCTCTCTCCTAACTCAATCCAACAAGACTTAACCTTCCTAAGACGTTCTTGAAAATGATCTCGTGTCCAATCCTAAGATACTGTACTCTACACCCACACTCCTATATGTTTAATTTTGTTATGATAGTGTCCGATTAAAGGTCAATCCCAGTAACTAAATTTAGAAAGATATAATAATTTGGAAAATGACTATTGGCCGCAAAGTGTATACTGGTAGATAATTAGAGGTGATTCTGATATATAAATTTACTAAGTTAATCCCAAACTGATATGCGAGAGCAAAGTACAGTTAACATGAGATAGAAGAGGAGTTGGTAAAGTTCATGAATCACAGAAATATACAATATATAACAATAATAAAAGTAAAACATAACTACACTTTACTGCAGACTCTGTTACACCCTGTATTGTTTAGGGTCTCCTGAGAATGTTGTGCGATGTACGTGACACTGTGTCGCTATGTTATCGGTCAATTATCCAATTTGAATCGACAATGACTGAAAGAATTCTTCCCCCATTTGCAACAGCGTTGGTTGTTTCAAATATTATATTCTAGTCTTTCCTATTCCTCTCTCCTAACCCACCTTCAAGACTTGACTTTACAAACGTCCTTGTAAATGGTCTTGCGCCCGATCCAAAAGATACTGTACTCTACTCCCGCAATCCTATATATATAATATCCTTATCATAGGGCCTGAATAAAGGTTAATATCAGTTACTAATTTTAGAAAGATAGAATAATGACTATTGACCGAAAAGTGTAATAAGGTTGATAAGTTGAGGTGATTCTGATATATAAATTTATATGTTAATCCCTAACTGATATACGAGAGCAAAGTACAGTTAACATGAGGTGGAAGAGAGGAGTTGGTAAAGATCATAAAATCAAGATATATAATATTAATAATAAAAGTAAAAACATAAATGCATTTTACTGCCGACTCTGTTACAATTCCCCCTTCCTTAAGAACAATTTTGAACGTAAGAACAAAATTTGAAGAAAAAGAACAGATAACAGGTCAGCAGAAAAAATGCATCCATAAAAAAAATTATATATATATATATATGCCGATGGACATGACATTGATGCCACAATGTACATGTAAGCCAATGGAAATCAGGTTCAGGAATGAGTCCACCAATGACGTCCGAAAGGAAATCAGGTTCAGGAATGAGTCCACCAATGACGAAAGTCTAATAATATTTCAAGTTAAGTCCATAATATCCAAATATCGTTGAGATTGAAAAACGATAAAGAGGTATGTTCATGTTTAAACAAAAACACGTGTAATCCAACGAAAACCAGAGTTTATGCACAATGGGGTGTGCTCCAAAATGTAACTAAACATTCTGAACAGGAAGCAAAGTTACTAAGTATTTTATATCAGGAAATAAATAATTATTTGCAGGAACATAAGGATGATATTTTGATATACCAATAGGAACAGAGGATGGTAGTTACTACTGAGTAGGATTTCACCAGTTACAGCGTCAACAATTTTGGAAAAGAAACATTTCAAGTTCATTTATAATGATGATACAGGATCATGGAGTTGTTGGTGAAATAACCATATACCATAAAAACGGTGTAGTACCATAGGAGAAAAGTACCATATAAAAAAATTATTTTGGTGAAATATCAAAGGAGAAAAGTACCATAAATCGATGTAACCATAATACAGGTTTACAGTATACCATGCACAATTTGGAATGCAGGAATCAAACTTCATATGAAAGTAGAATGCTTAGAAGAATACATATTAAAACGTTTGAGGTGGGTACATGAACGACTGGAGGAAGAAGTCTGAAGGTTGGGCCAGGAAGAGAGGTATCGTTGTCATCAGTGGATAGCGTTCGGAATCTTTTTGGTAATTGTCGTATGTCTTCAGAAGAATCAGCAATTGAGGAGCGTCGGCAGTAGTTGGAGGCGATAACTCAGCAATAGGAATAGGGTGTTCTTCAATTGAACGAGCACCTCGTACAATTTGAGACAAAACTTCATTTCTTTGTTTAGCCAATGTATATTTGTGTTTAGAATAAACTTTACGTAAAATGAAAGTAGAGACAAGAATGATAAAGATAATAGCCAACACGATAAGTCCACCCAAAATCCTATTACTGGCTTCAACACTATGATGATGAATTTCAAATCCCGGACAAGCCCCCAAAATTTAGTGTTGTAACAGCGTTGGTTGTTTCAAATATTTTATTCTAGTCTTTCCTATTCCTCTCTCCTAACCCTAGTTGGTAAAGTTCATAAAATCAAGATACATAATATATAATATTAATAATAAAAGTAAAAACATAAATGCATTTTACTGCAGACTCTGTTACACATTGTGAATATTACGAAAACAAATAACTACGTTTTTGACTTCCTTTTTGTTGTGTCCTTTGTTTGTTCCCGTCCGCAATCCTGGTCACGGCACCAATTAAGCAGCAGTCTTTGACGCTTTCTTAACTTTCTGGTATCATTAGGTGTACTGACTCAAACTTTCACGTTGGCTTTTAAAGCCATCCCAAAGACATTCTGATCTAAAAAGTTAAAGGCAGTAGATGCAACTTTAAGGTACTTCTGATAACGATTTGTGTGACGTTTCTTTTGAAATTGTTCAAAGTAACACCTGATCGAATTTAACTTCAGTAGTGAAAATTTGTTATCAGTATTGATGTCTTTGTAGAGATCATAATTTGGAGTTTCTTTTAATATTCATTGTTCAATACCTTTGATTCTATCAAAATATTACCTATCATCCAAGGAATTGAACGGATTAAATTGAAAAAGGAAAATGGCAGGGCCACACTACTAGACTAGAACCTAGTAATCAGGCTTGTCACTAGCAGTCTTCAGAGCTAGGATACATCTTGCTGTTCATCTCGCGAAATGGCTTTTCAATTTTTTTTTGTTCATTATCTTTTTTTTTGTTCATTATCTTTATATATGCCACCATATTTCTATTTGCAATTGACGTATGTTTAAACCAATCAACAAACAAAGCAGTAAGACTATTAGTGGGTGTCCAGCGATGAATAAGTTTCCATGAAAACAACTAGTGTTATCACATCCTGTAAATACATGGGAGCTAATTATAACAATGCTTCAAAGAGTTAATAAAAAAACATTTATGATTCTTTTCTTCTTCACACGTGTGTAAAAAAAAAATTAGTAAATTCAGTAAGTCATAAAGGCGTTTGCAATCTTCGATATTTGGTTGCATCCAAGCGATCTTAGAAATGATGTTTTTATGGGAATGCCCAAATAATCAGCCAAATGTAATTAAATTTAATTTAAACTGCATCGACAACTTGACAGTATACAAAGCTGTAGCCTATGTATTCTATTCCACGGGTTAGGAGAGGGTACAATAGAAAACTGCGTCGACGACTTGACAATATTCAAAGATGTAGTCTACGTACTCTATTGCACGGGATAGGAGAGGGTACAATAGGCGTGTTCCCGGATCCCCAGGTGCAAATGTTATTTATTATAATTAAGTTCTTTGTTAATTGGCCATGCACAAGGCGTGGAGGAACTCTTCGTCACCTAATAAAGGTGCCTTATGGCTGAATGTATTTGTCATTTATATGTTAATTAAACAAGGACTCGGATTACATTTCTGTTTCAGACCATGTGTAGAGGTAATTCTGTTAGATATAGCACTATTTGTTTTAATGTGATAACTTGTCTTGTGATACATTGATTTTATTATTTTAAAACAATGGTCATCTATATTATGATTCAAAAGTTTGTATAATAAGCCTCAAAGTTCAATAAAACACAAATATTGGGTTTTTTTTATTTGTGAAGCATTTATTTAATAAAGTGCAACAAAAACGTTGCGAAGGCACCGTGCTGCACCAAAGTTCAGTTAAAACGTTAGGATGAATATGTGGCAGTAGCTAGTTCAGTCGGCTGTGAAATTCCTCAAAGTTGTTGGTTCTGGGTCCATCCGTTTCAAAATGGCTCCACATGTGCATAAGGAATCTAGCGTCATCATCCACCAAGTTTTCACAACGCAATCGTTGAAATCCAAAGATCTAGGCACATGTGGTGTCGATTCCATAGATGGAATCCACGCATCCAATAAAGGGAATAAGCAGAAGAGCTAGCCCAGCTGCTCGTCTAATCAACTGTTTCACATTGGGGTCCTTCTTGTGCATGACTGAAAGTCCAAGATTTTGAGATTTCCTCCAAATTGCCTGGGTCATTAGATATATTATTTTAATGTTTTGACTGCTAATCGTAATTCAGTAGCGAAAATTATTAGATTTCAGGGCTTTTTGGTGGTTATTGTGAGCATTCCTTTAAACTTGTTTTAATCTTTAAATGAAACCAAACTAAATGGATTTAACGAACATTTTGCCTTACACAACCCTTTCGACCAATGAAAGCCATATGTACCGTACCCCTGGAGGTAGCCTTACTACAACTGGGTTGGTGGCTCTGTTGTGTGGATATTTTGCCCCATCGTTTATTACCACCTTTCCAAATCTACTACAAACCACAAACAGTCCAACTTAATAGACATTAAGATTGCACGTTCTGCCTTTGTTTACCAGTTTCCAGATCCAATTCCAAAATGTTCCTCAACTCATCGTTTTCCTATTTTATTATTTTTGCATGAATTTTGATTTGAAGGTTAATCCCTAAAGATTAAAACTGATGTCGTGAATTTAAGTATGCATTCAATTGGCCGAAATAAAGGTGAAACGATTAGTAAAGGTATATTTGACTACGTTTTTCTTTAAATATGATAAACCGCTAACCCAAAACTAGTGACCAAAGGTTACGGGGGTATGTAGACGACATGGTCGGTATAGATAACATCAACAATACAATATATTTATAATATTAATTAGTTTTCGGGGAAGGGAGGGTTTGATTCTCCCAAATGTACAGGCCTAGGGTGGAGCAGACACTTTATTTAGAAATTAGGATTAAGGGTCTTGATATTGGGTTTTCTTCTGTTCTTATTCTGATCTGAAATTAGAAAAAATAACTCGCCCGATGGGCGAGAAGTATAGTATCTGTTATGTACTCATTGTTTTTAGTTTACTATGAACAATATTATCATTTAAGTTCTTATTTTTTGAATATGCAACTATCATTTTCTGCTTATAGACATGGGGGAATTTCTCTTGCAGGCTCTTATAGTGGGCATGAACTATCTTGCTTGCTCGATTGCTGGTTGTATTAAACGGGACAACAAAGGGTGCTATGCCTACATTATGATGAATATTTAGTCCTATAGGTCTTGCTGTATTCAATGTCTCAATCCAATGGGCCTCCCTAGATTGACGGAATTTGGTAGTTTCATCTTCGGGCAAGTCAATTTCTATACGCTCAATTGGGATTAGGGTGAGATCGTCTATTGAATGGTCGTCGAGGTTGAAATGATTAGAAACAGGCTTGTCTTTCTTTAATTTGATGTCTGACCTATGAGCATTAAAGCGAGTTCGTAAATTATTCTTAGTTTCTCCTACATATTGTTTGGGGCATTTCTTGCATGAAATTAAATATATTACACTCGAATGTTCACATGTTAGATGTTCCTGGATCGGGTACCTTTTATTCGTAGAGTTGCTTACAAAATAATGAGTTTCTGATATAAAGGGACATGTTTCGCATCTACTGGACAAACATGGAGCACTTCTTAAACCTGGAGGTACTTCGGCATAAAGTCTGTTTTTAGCTGCTATCTGTGCTAAGGTGGAATTTTTTATGTTTCGTAAAAATCGTTTAGAGTACCCACGCTCTTTCAGTTTTGAGAAAACAATCGTACAGGCTTGGTTGAAATCAGAAGATCTTGTACAAATTCGATGAAATCGTAAAACTTGTGACTTAATTATACCAGAAAAGGTATGTTTTGGGTGAAAGGAGCTCTTGTGCAAGAGTTGATGAGTATCAGTTTCTTTGAAATACACTTTAATATCCAGTTTATTTGTTTCTGCTATGGAATCTCCCTTAAAGACTGTGGTATCGAGAAAGTCTATGCTTTTGTCACTCACGTTTGCGGTTAGTTTGATAGAAGGATGGTGGTTGTTGAGAATTTCAAAGAATTCCCAAAACTGTTCGATAGAATAAGTCCAAACCATAAAAATGTCATCCAAAAAGCGTCCGTAAAAAAGTGGGTCAAGTGGACAGAGGGGCAACACCTCACGTTCCCACTCTGCCATGAAAAGGTTTGCGTACGAAGGGGCGAATCGTTTGCCCATTGCTGTCCCTGAGGTTTGTAAATATGTTTTACCATTAAATGTGAAATCGTTTCGACTAAGACAAATCTCTAAAAGCTGTAGAATTGCATCGTCGGGTCTGTTTGGATCTGGGTTTCTATTAAAAGCTTTACGAACTGCCGTTAAACCAGTAGTGTTATCGATATTGGTATACATAGAAGAAACGTCGATAGAAATTAAAATAGCATTAGAGGGAACTCGAAGATTTTTTATTTTATTGACAAAATCGGTTGTGTCTTTAAGGTAGGCGCGGTGTTGACATGCTAGAGGTAGTAAGAAATGATCAATGTATTCTGACACCGCATATGACTCACTACCACAGTCAGATATAATCGGGAGACCTTTAGGGATTTTATTCGAGATAAACCACTCCTTGGTTGGATTCTTATGGATTTTAGGCAAAGTGTACAAATGTCTCTCGCGACAATCAGGTTTGGCAGACAGATAGTCATATTGTTTCTGTTTGAGATAACTAGTTTTGACTAAATCGGCAAGAATATTATTAATCATGTTAGCAGTTTCTTTGAAAATTGGTTTCGGTAAAATGGCATAATGTTTAGGATTATTCAGTTGATTCTCTGCTTCTGAAACGTAATCCTCCCTATTCAGAATGACACAACATGAACCTTTGTCACTCTTTTTGGCTGTGGCGATTAATTTCTGGGCTTGGTTAAAGGAGGTCTTTGGTATCTGATCACGGTTGTTGAGGCCTACATGAAGAATAATGGTAGTAGGTTTGGGATCATGGTCGTATGATTCCAGGATTGACTGTATGTGATGGATTTGGGCACCGGGGTAAGAATGTATTTCGGTGTCCGAACTGGTTTTGGTAATTCGATTCAGGTTAGATGATCCAATTATTAAGGTTGATTTCTTTAGAGCAGGTAGTTTCCATAATGATTTGTCCTTGGTTTGGTGATAATACGGTTTGGTAGCGGATATAATGGTCGTCGACGGTGTGATTGGTACTGGTTTGGTAGTTGTTAGAATTGTAGCATTGGGAACGGACTGGGATCTGGTTCGAGGAGGGGAAGGTCTGGATACATGTCTCGACTTGGATGGAGACTGAGGGGTGGTTTGCTGGTCCAAAAACGCACAGAAGGAAGAAAGGTTGGCGGATCCTGGATCACGGGGTGAAGATTCAGATGGTGTGGAAGGGGAAGACGAGTCTGAAAGTGAAAAGAGAAGGGGTGTGCCCTCTCTACGAGAGCGTTTACCTATGTCTGCTGGACTAGGAGTAGGTGAACTTCGAGCTCGTTTAGGGGTTTGGTTCGGCAGCGTGGTAGCTCTAGATGGTGCAGGTGTAGTGTCCATTTCAGTTGGTAGAGATATGGTTACTCTGGTTTTTGTTTCGTTGATTGTTTGGTAGAATTTGGAAATTACAGCTTGAGTGAGACGTTTCCCATAGGAGCGACGGGCCCAGGACAGGGCATGAGAAACGATGCGGTCGACGGCAGGTGATGATAAAGACTTGGTACGAATGGTGGTCAGCTTCTCTTGAAGTGTGGTTTGGTAATGGTCGATCAGGACCTGCGTAACCTTACAGAGCCATGTCCGATTGAGGGATCTAATATTCGCGTCGACAGCTGATGTTTTCATTGCTGGACGGATATGTTTTATGATCTTCTTTTGATAGGTCATCATATTTTTCAATTCGACTACTTGTAGTTCCAGAATGTGAAGATATTCTTTCATACAGGTCTGATAAAGTGTTGACAGGTTTTAGTCGATTCCTTATCTTATTGTACATTGATCTGACGTCTGGAAGGGGTGAATGTGGTAGATCTGTTTTGGATTAATTCCACTCGTCACCATGGCTAGTTTGGATTTTCAAATTTCAAATTCTTCTTTCATCCATGGTTGGTAATGTTTTCCTTGTATCATGATGTTTTGTGTCGAATAATAAGCAGTTATTAGTCACCAATGTTTCCTCCTCTACTTCATAATTGCCCTCTTTATCCTTTACTTATCTGTAGTGAATACCACACAGACCCAGATCACATACTCTACAGTCAGAGTATTGACTGTTCGCACTCGATTGCCAATCTCGGTTTAGGGAACAGATCACTCTCAGTATTCATATATATTGATATATTGTTCATAAAAGAAATATGACATAAGTTCACAAAATACAAGGGTTCACAATATGAAAATAAAGATCTACCGCTAGTTCACATTTACTGATAGTTCACAATCACAATTATATGTCAATAATCAATAGTTCACAATATCAAAAGTTCACAATATCAATAGTTCACGATTCACTTGTATGAAAAAAATGGTTGACAAATACATATTGGTAATAGTTCACCTTGACAATAGGTGAAAATCTTTATCGCATCCTCACTCATAGAGTGGATTCTGTGCCAAATCCAATCTGGTTCCTTTCTCTAGCATGCCAACTGTTAAATTTGGAAGTCCTGATTAAATCTCAATTTACTCTGGTACGACAGACGTGACAGGCTTTCATTGCAGTACGCTATCAAGATAGCATCATTGCCACAACATCCTGCTTACTGTCCCGTATTTAGACCTTACTTTGAACACCTGTTCGAGGCAAAGCCTCGTGCTGTTTCTTCTTTTGGAGTCCGCATTCAACCCCTTATGTCAGCAGCTGGTATAAGCCACGACAGTATCGCGGACTTTGCCATGACCACTATTCCACCTTGGTCAATTGCTCCACTCCAAATAGACTTTAGTCTATCGAGCAACAAGAAGTCACAGACAAGCTCTGTTGTCTTCAAGTCTAAATTTCTTGAACTAAGGTCTAAATATGGGGATTTTGCTCCTTTCTATACAGATGGGTCTAAGGATGGTGATAAGGTAGCAGCCGCTACAGTTACACCATCCGAAGTTCTATCTGTAGCTCTTCCACCAGCAGCCTCAATATTTACTGCAGAACTCATTGCCATTTTACAGGCACTTGAGTTTTTTCAGTCCTCTACATCATTAAAAAAAATGTATTATATTTTCTGATTCTTTGTCCTCATTACAAGCCATTAATAACATCCAGCTTGTACACCCAATAATCGGGGATATATACAAGCTCTCTGGGCCGAAAAAGGACATTGTCCTTTGTTGGCTCCCCAGTCACATGGATATACGGGGGAATGACATGGCAGATGCGGCGGCTAAGGCTGCTTTGTCACTGCCTGTTTCCCCCTTTTCTTTGCCTTTCACCGATTTTAAATCAGTGATAAGGTCATTTATTCAACATCGATGGCAGCAAAGATGGGATGCTGCAGACAAGCTTCGTGCCATTAAGCCTCTCCTAGGAGACTGGCCCTTCTCCTATTTTGCCAACAGGAGAAATGAAGTTGTTTTGTGTCGCTCTGGTCTTGGACATACTCACCTCATCAACTGTTATTTGCTCAAGCGAGAGCCTCAACCAGTCTGTGAGCACTGCCAGATCTGCCTGACAGTGAAACACATTCTGATTGAGTGTAAGCATCTCAAACCTATAAGATCACTGCACTACCGTGCTGTTTCTTTATTTCAGCTTTTTGCGCAACCTTCTCTTTATGAGAAGGTAGTGGCTTTTTTAAAACAAGCAAGTCTTTATTTTAAATTTTAAATAGATTAGTCATTGTTTGTTTTAAATATTTCGTTTGTTTTTAATACCACCATGTGGTGTATTACCTGTGATATTGTTTTTAGTGTTTTTTTTTTGTAGTCATTAAATGACTGTTTCTGTGATATGGTTTTTATCGGTTTTTTTGGTTTTTTTGTCACTATGTGACCTTTCTGTGATATTGATAGGTGTTTCATTGTTTTAGTTTTTTTCATTATTTTAACGTATTCTGGAGCTATATAGCCCGTTTGGTGCTGATGCTCCTTAATGCATTTCATTTCATTTCATTTACTCTGATAGCAAGAGATAAATTTCGTCTCTGGCGACCAGACAGTGTATTGATAAGAACTTATTTGAACATTACAATATCTTTTAGTTCAGTATTTCATTGATTCATTGTTGCAATTATAAAGTGTATTTTATAAGTGGATTTTAACCAAAAAAATATAGAAAGTTCCAAACTTATCCAAATGACAAATGCATGTGCATCAAGGCTAGAAAATCGCACTTACACATCGAAAAAAAAAACACGAAAAGAATGCCACGACTGATACAGCATTAACGCGAGAAAGCTAGCTGTGGGAATGATTCTGATGGGAGCCACAAAGGTGACCGCACCACGTGAAGACCTATATTTGCTCTCCGGAATTTCTGACACTACGATTACGACGGAATTTCTACGACTACCAACAACTACCTAGTTTGCGATATCAGCATCCGCTGGAAGCGAACGTTAACTTGTCATCTACCTACCTCTGACAGTGGGGTCATCAGCGAGCTGATGCATTACGTTACAGGGTTAGTCGACAGACCGTGTTCAAGCGGCTCCAAAGTCACAGAATAAAGGCCTACAAGCCGTACGTCGGACAGTCATTGACAGTTCAACATCGTCGTATGAGATTAGGATGTGCCCACACTGTATGACGATAGGCAACGACCAGACTGGCTGAGTTCGGTTCTTTTGGAGAGAGTTTATGGTGGTACGAGTGAGTGTCCAGGTGTGTAAGCACGGTCTTCACCTCCCAAGAACCATTGTACTATTTTTCTTTTTATAGGTGTAGATATATTGCGAGTTCTGCCAGGTTTTGGTCACAGCTGGATGCAAATCATGTTCCATGAACGTCGATGATGAAATATGCTTCATATTCTTGAATTCAAACATTTGAAGGGATTAAGCTGGAAGTGATCCGGAATATTTTCAATTTAAGACTGACAAAAAAAACTGGCCAACTTCATAAGTGTACAACAACTAGAAACTACTCGGCTGTTAGTAGACGATGATTTGCAAAGTTCACATGTTTGGAAAAGCTGGAGTAAATTAAATTTGTTAACAAAAAAATTTCTCAGCGTAAAAGGTTCCCCTTGACTCTCCATCCCTGAAATGACAAAACTCAAAAGCCAATTTTAATTACTTCATATTAATAATTAACAATGTAAAAAAAGGGAATGATAGTATGCAACAACAGGAATTATTTCTTTTAGCTTTTTGAGCAACTCTCTCTGTTTGAGAGGTTTGTCGCATTTTTGAAAGAAGTTAATTTTTATTTTAAATTTTGAATATCCTTTTGTCTTGGCTAGGACAATGAAAGGCGCCTGATTTCTCTGTCCATGCTTCACTCACTGTGAGGGCTTAGGATCAAATCCATGGGTTGACTTTGAATGTGACCTTGGACGACTGTCAGATTGTTAGTAATAGTTTTCAGATGAAGGTTGTGCTTTCTCTCTTACAGACCAAATTCCTCTGCAAGTGATTCTGCAATCACTGATATTGCCTTGAATCTTGAATATTGGATATTGGTATTCAAAGGTTTAAGTGGCTTCTTGATCTCTGACCTAATATCTTTCATAGGGGGTTTAAGTCGGCAGTTGGAGGTCAATTAATTTGGTTCTCTGTGCTTCACGAGTTCATTCAGTGCTTTCATTCCTGTTGATATGTTATTTGATGGAAGTCTCTCAGCTCTCATCAGTCCACTATAACTCGTAATATCTGCCATGTAATCAATTTGTTTAAGAGTGGTTATGCAATCACGTATCGAAAGGTAGAATTGTCGAAGAACCGTGCTGCTGTAGGCTTTGCCACCTTAACTCTATGAGTAAAGACATTCTTCCGTTCTTGTTGTGACAAAGCATAGTCTTTCCCGCTACATCCAAGGCCATGTATGACGATCTTTGCATCACCTTTCACTACAGACATAGGACAGTTCAACATCATCGTCTGGTGCTGATGCTTCTTAATGCATTTAATTTTATTTCAACATCATTGTCTGAGGTTAGGATGGGCCGAAATTGTACGCCGATGGCAACGACCAGTTTGTTTGAGGTTAGGCTTCAGTTATGGAAGTCAGTTTTGTTTGTTTGAGATAACGGGTTGCAGAGAGGTTATGGCGGTAAGTTGGTATGTGGGTGCGGGAGGGATCTATGGTTGTCGTTAATAGCAGTCGGCGTTGACATTCTTCATTCGACATTTCTGCAACAACGGCCTTCTGGTATCGTTTATCCGCATGTTTACGACAGGCACTATACAGACATAATCGTAACCAACTTCCATGGAGGCAACAATACAAACGTGTGGCCTGCATGTTCCCCCGACATGCACCGACACCACTAACATCAACATTATACAACTACTGTATTCTAATTTGCCATTTTACATTTTATCTTTCGTACTAAAATTCATAATATTTTGTATAATTGGTTGTCTGTTATCCCCTTTCACAGTTTTGTATCTTATCATCATAATGTTTCTGTTATATATATGTTATTTGTAGTTAATATATTCCAGGGAAGATTACCTCTGGTAACTTGATTTCAAATAAACATTTAATTATTTTATTATACAGTTTTTTTTTAATGAATGCTTCGATTTTTTCGAAGGAAAATAGTTTTTGTAGTCCGAGTCTTTCCTTACTATCAAAACTCTAAAATGAATTATTTCCCTTGAACCATAGTCACTACTCTTGCTATTTTGCGTTTTGTTGTTTGCTATAGAAGATTTGTCATGTCAATAAGTCAATTGTATCAAGATAAAACGCATATTGAAATATATAATTATAAAGGCAGACAGTGGATCTAAGGACAATTGAAAAACGGTGATCGGAGCGCTTGTTACCTGCTGAGCTGACCG